TTTTTTTTTTTTTTTTTTTTTTTTTTTTTTTTTTTTTTTTTTTTTTTTTTTTTTTTTTTTTTTTGTCTTTCATCACTGGTGCATAATGACTACACATTATTGTTCTTCTCGATAACAATGGAAACTGGTAAATGAGGAAATATTTTCAGTTTGGTCCAGCTAAAAGAAGAGAACATTTTGAGCAAGATTAATTTTTTTCTGTACTGAACTTAGAGTTAGGAATCCTTAATTGGTTAGAGTCTTAGCCCGTTGTGAATTGGAGTCCTGATTCTAGACGGATTGTTGTCCTCATTAAAGTCTATTCTGGAATCCTAATATTCTCAGTCCTGATTCTTCACGTGCAGATGTAGCTTTCTAGCCCTGTTTTGAGAATGTTATAGCAGACTGGATGAAAGTTTATAACATTCTCCTGCTATAAATATTTTTCTTGTCATTTTGTTTTAAACTAATAGAAAGAAAAGCAATACCATTACGGTTAAATTGTGTACATCTCTACCCTCCAACACCTCAAGTATTTCATTCTTCTTCTAGCTGTGCTGTAGTACCAATACCATCTGACCTTTTGTTCCCTTTCAATTTTTTTCTTTGACAGTTGATGGACATCGTCGATGCGAAAAATGGTTGAGTAATGTTATAGATCCGAAAGAACCAAAAACAAACTCATGGTTCAAGAGATTCATAGGGAGGGAGCAGAAGCCAGAGGTGACCTGGCCATTTCCCTTTGTGGAGGGTAGATTGTTTATCCTAACACTACGTGCTGGTGTTGATGGATACCATATAAATGTTGGTGGTCGGCACTTGACTTCTTTTGCCTATCGCCCTGTAAGTATGTGGAGAAGAGGAGGATGCAGATAGCTATTTCACATTCTATTAATATTCATATGTTGTTGAAGTTTGTCTTACTGCTGTAGTTGGTATTGATAATCTCTCCCACGCTTTAATATTAATTTCTTATATATTTGTTGGACTTTTATTTAGGGATTTACGCTTGAAGATGCAACTGGATTAGCCGTTAAAGGAGACGTGGACATTCATTCTGCATATGGTACAGCTCTTCCTACTTCTCATCCAAGCTTCTCTCCCCAACGAGTTCTTGAGATGTCAGAGAAATGGAAAGCTCAGCCTTTACCCAAGGGATCCGTTTATCTTTTTATTGGTGTTCTATCTGCTACTAACCACTTTGCGGAGCGTATGGCTGTTAGGAAAACTTGGATGCAATCTCCATCTGTCAAGTCATCAAATGTAGTTGTTCGCTTCTTTGTTGCACTGGTATGACTCTTGTATTTGACATGTTGGATATTAACATGAAAGCTGAGTGGCTCCCACTCTAATGGAAGACTATGGCTCGTGTTCAGTCTTCCCATCTACTTTGGCACTCGGGATTACTTGGATCTCTACTTCATTTATGTTCTCTGATATTTATTTCCATCCTTGTTTTTTGTATTTCTTATCATGTATAAACTCACCATGTAGAATCCGAGGAAGGAGGTCAACGCTGTGCTGAAGAGCGAAGCTGCATACTTTGGTGATATTGTGATCTTGCCCTTCATGGACCGCTACGAGCTTGTTGTTCTAAAGACTATGGCTATATGTGAGTTTGGGGTGAGTTTGCGTTTTCCTTCTTCTGTTCATAATTGTTTGGATCTTCTTCATAGAACTTCGTAATATGAACTGAGTAGCGTTTGACCTTAGTGTATGTTGTTTTTCGATATGCGTGAACTAATCAACTCTCTCCTTGTAGGCTGTGAACTTGACGGCTTCGTATGTTATGAAATGTGATGACGACACCTTTGTGAGAGTGGAAACTGTTTTAAAACAGATCGAAGGCATTTCATCCAAGAGGTCCCTGTACATGGGCAATCTCAACCTCCTGCATCGCCCTCTCAGACATGGAAAATGGGCAGTCACGTATGAGGTAACTTACTTATCCCACTTTGATGTGAGCATCGGTTGGGAGGAGAGCTAAACATTCTTTATAAGGGTGTGGAAACCTCTCCTTAATAAAAGGAAAAGTCCAAAAAAGACAATATCCGCTAGCGGTGGATTGGCCGTTACACTTCCATTCCATTCCATTCCATTCCTATATCTTGTCACTTTAATTACAAAAAGTGGACCCACCCAACTCCTTTCCTTTAGTATACATTTATTATTGGTGGCCTATCACTTTTTTTCAATCTTTTATTATGCTAATGATTTATTTTGACCAATATCAGGAATGGCCGGAAGAAGTGTATCCTCCATATGCAAATGGGCCGGGATATATCATTTCCATTGACATTGCTAAATACATTGTGTCCCAACATGAGAACAGGAGCCTGAGGGTGAGTTTGTTGTAAGCCTTATTGCCTGTGTCTGTTTGTGTGTGGGTTCTTTGGTGTATTAAAAAAGGGATGTTTCGGAATGTGGCAGTTATTCAAGATGGAGGATGTGAGCATGGGAATGTGGGTGGAGCAGTTCAACAGCAGCGTGGCGATGGTCCAATACTCACACAACTGGAAATTCTGCCAGTATGGGTGTATGGAGGAGTATTTTACGGCACACTATCAGTCTCCTAGGCAGATAATCTGCCTGTGGGATAAGCTGGCGCGGGGACACGCTCACTGCTGCAACTTCAGGTGACCATTTTTCCACAATTTTCCGCCTCTGTATTTCTAGCCATGTTTATTGTATTATTATTTTTATTATTATTCAGTGTAGGCGTCATGAATTCAAACTATGATACACACTGTAATTGCTATCGTCATTATTATTATTTTTTGGTTTCACCAAGATGGGTGTTTTCCATGTATAGATTATGATGTGGAATGGGCATTTTGATATGTAATGTAGCTTGATTCCTCCATGTGATATGAAATATACTTGTGCCTTGGGTGTTGTTGTTAAATGGGCCTTGCTCCCCAACTCTTCTTCTTCTAAATTGGTCATTCTCCCAAAAGATAAAAGGAAAATACATAAAGCAATAGATTCCTTGGGCCCTCTTTTTTTGGTGTTGAAATGAATCTTAGTTTTAAAGATTTTGGAGCGCGTAATTCATGGCATTAATGAGTAGAAATGATAGGATAGGATGACCAATTTGCAAAAGAAAAGGATTTTATTTGATTTTTAGTAATATCACAAACCTTCTTTCCTTCACATTGGCTCTACCTTACCTATATACTTCTAAAATTCAAAATAATAATAATCACAATAATAATAACAACAATGAAAACAATGTGCTTCTATTATTTTTTTTTTTTTAAATTTAAAAACAACCCATAAACTTATTATTCTTCCCCATTCCCAACTTCACGTTTTTTTTTTTTAAAAAAAAAAAAAAAAAATTAAGAATAAACAAATACTTTTATGTGGATATAATACATATATTCGTACGTGACAAGGACCGTCCGACGTGTCAGTTACAAACTTGGTTTGTGTTCCTCCATTGTTGCACACACGACACCCGTCTGCCTCGCTGGCTCTCGCGTTGTCCGGACGCGTAATCAAAGATTAATGAGACAAAATTTACACATGGGGCCCACTTTATTGTCGGCAGCTCTGGAGCGTGTCATTCACGACAACCATTTCCCCAAAAAGTAAACGAAATTAAAGTAAAGCAAAGGTTTTCTTTTTATGGGGCCGTTACCACGGCCGTTGAACGCTCGCCGTTTTGATTCTATTGGGGCCACTCTCTGCGAGTACAGAATAATGCTTACTCGCTTCCATGTCTTCATGCCAGAGTAGCTCTCCACGTGGC